AGGACAACTACTTGAGACCGGTCACACACAGCCTTTTAGTGGGAGGTTTTTGATTTGTTAGCTCCGTTCTTCAAAAGGCCTTACCTTCGGAGACGGAAATCCGTGAGTTAAGGTGAGATGTGACATTTTTAGGGTCGACCTTTTCTAACCCCTTCCTTCCTTGTGAGAAGGCAGCATCGCTGAAGATGCTGGTTGTTCGAAGGAAGCATCTTACTACCGTCATATCCTTCTGCAGTCAGCAGTACAACTTCGCTCTCAGACCTTGAGTTGCTGCTTTTAGTCATACCTGCCTGGCATGGTAGAACCTACAGGAACATATGTCCCAGTCAATGTAGCTCGGTTGGGTCATCACAGAAATTCCAAACAATACCACAACAGACAAATTTTATAAATTTGGGCAATTTTAAAGTTTATGTAACAAAGACGAATAATGCTACACATAGAAATAGCTATGTAAACCATTAAACTAATTTACTTTAAATGTGCTACTTTCAATTTTTTTTGTATTATTTAAGTAGAGAATATAATACTAGTCAAAATGATTGTTATTACTGATGAGCAAACTAAAGTTACTATTGTACACCAAAACTAAGTGACAAACTAATAAACATTTAAAGCATAAATCTGATATCACTGGTTGAGAAGGCGAAATCCAATTCTTTTACTCATTGTAATTCTTGCTCAATATTACTTCCGTTTTCAATTCTAAATGATGATTATTTGGAATAATATTTCTGTTTACTTCCCAATGTGATATTTTATTTGGTATAACATTAATTCAATTGAGGGTGATATTATTTCAGGAAATGATACTCAGCATAATAGACAGCATGTGACTTTGTTATAACCCTGGGTACTTTTTATATATGTGATTTTATTCTAATCCAGAATCAAAATAAGTTTTCAATCAGTGTATATTGAGTGTATTTTTAACTACGGTTGTCGTGTTTTAGAGGTTGATAAATCTTCACTCCTATCAGTCTTGGTGTTCTTCCTTGGAGTTGTGAGAATTACGGTAGTTCCCCGTTCTTTCAATTATAAGAATAAGAGACATGGATACAACAAGATGACAACATTATACATTACAAGAAATGAATGTTGTCCATAAATTAAAATTACTTTATTGTTTAATAATAAAAACGCTTTTATTATCCATCGACTAGCTTTTATGTACACTATAATTCTCCAAAGTATCATTATTGATTGTACTGCTTAATTAATGAAAAAAAGGATGTCTGTTACATGATTATATTTATCACTAGTCTAGAGTTTATAAAATATAATCACAGTTATCATTGTACAATAATCCTCAGTAGTAATATTGAAATATTCAACTTGACATAACTAGATCGGCGAGACCCTAATTTATGGATGACTTTCGAACGAATTTTAAGTGACCTTGAGAAATATTAGCCAATCAGCAAACATTAAGTATCGAGTAAAAATGTGTTATACAAAACCAAGGAAATAAAGTGGATACATTTCTTATACGTGGTTCAAAAAATTGTCATGGTTAGAAAGAGTTTCAGAGGTTCTAAAATCGTAATGCATGCAGTAGAGGGGATCATTCATACGGTTACAGAATAATCAGCCTCTAGAGCCATGATAAAGTCTTTAAAACTCTTTCAGCCTCGACCACATAATTTCAATATTGTTAATGTGCACTTCGGTTTTTGAGTGCAAAAAATGCTACTTGTGGATAACGACACGATGCACATAACCAAGGCTATGAAGGAGTCTGTACAATCTCTAAACATACGTATATATTGTAGTACCTGGCTGCAGCCAGTGTTACTGGCACTTTTATTATCCAGTTCGCGATAACTGTCATAATTTGCCTCAGTTAGGAATTATGTATGGGGTTTTCATCACGAACTGACATCAGCTATAGTACCAGAAATTTATTTAGCCAAATGGGTGAAAGGCTTTCGTGCTCATCCATAAATTAGCCTCGCCACTAGATCATTAAAAAAATATATATATATACGCAAATTGAGTCTTTTTTCAAAAATGTCGCACAATTTTGAATGCCTTTAAATAACAAATACTATTACACAATGGTGTGTGCTACTAATGCCGATAGATATAAGTAGTATGTCTCATCAATCGAAAGTGAAGTACCTGGCGGCAGAAAGTTAAGAAGATCAAAGAAAAGAGAACGTGAACAAAGAATGATTGGTGTGGAAACTAAGGAACTATGAAGTCTGAGACGATTGACTGATATTTTGCTAATGAAGTATTTACTGTATGGTTTTCAGATTTTACTAAGATATTTTGTAATTTTGTATTCAAATACATTCAAATACAACACTAACAAATTCTATATTTTGATATTAATAATAAATGTACGTGTCCTTTCAAGTAATCAGGAATGTATATGGTAAGAATATGCAACGACCTTCACTAAACACACGAATGACTTTCATACTACCTAATCAAAAATAGAAAATCAGAATTCGGCTTTCATGTAAGAGCTCCAAAATATAGAAAGGCGATAGAAATACAGAGGATGAGGAGTTTTAAATTAATTATTGAACTTATTAGTGCTAGCTGTCGATTATTATGATTTTTGGCCCCATATCTTTTAAGAGCTAACTCCTAACTCTACAACCTCTCTACTCTACTTTCTAACCGTGGAACTCTTGAACCCTAGCTCCTAATTCTAAAACTTCTAGACCCTGGCTCCTAGCATTTAAAAATCTTGGCTCCAACTCTTAATCTTCAAATCTATCGACTTTAGCTACTATCCTCTAAACGTCTTAACCGTTATACCTCATATCACTTCATATCACCAATATTTCCAACCTTAACCCTAGTGTTATATCCCGACGAGAATTATGAATGGTAACTTTTAAGAACTATTTATAGACCAATACGATGCATATATTTTTATTGTATAATTGTCAAGCAACTAAACTGTGCATATTCACGTTCCTATTATTAAAAGCTTTATGTCGACCCATAGACTATTATTATGTCATTTACTATTCTTGAGTTATGCCCAATCAATTAATTACTATCTCCCATATTCACAGCCACTTTTGGCTAAATCTTGTGCAAATGTTATTTTCCATTTTATAGTACTATGTGGTCTGCTTGATTTGTATATAAACTCAGTATGTTTGAAATAAATGATTCATATTGCAGAGACTGAGATTGGTGTTCTGGATTTAACTGGTTGAGCTAGGCAGGAAGCAGGACGAATAGGGACTCTAGACTGCTCGTACGCATTTTATGCGCCATTAGTCCAGTCGGTAAATCACTGTTCTTTAATTGGCAGTATCATTACGTTGTATATTAGTTAGGCACGAGGCCACAAGTTATAACACTTAACTTCTAACCGTTAAACTCCTTAACCCTAGATCCTAATCCTAAAAACCTCTAAACACTAAGTTCTTACCCTAATACTTCTAACCTAAACACACTTAACCCAAACATGTTAACGATACGAGTTTATTCCACGAGTAAACTACCATTCAATCTTTTCGAAATATCATGTTTTAATAATAAACTATCTCCAACATTGTTATAACTTGTGACTGCGGATTAGACCCAGCGGACTATCGATCGGAGCAAAGACGCGTAAAACACGTAAGAACGACCTAGAGTCCTGATTGACCCTGCTTCCCTGTCTAGCCTAGCCAGTTGAGTCCAGAACGCAAGTCTCAGCCTCTGAGATATGAATCATTATATTTCAACTATATTGAGTTTATATACCAATCAAATCGACCACAAGGTATCAATAAAATATGAAACAACATTTGTACTAGAATTAGCCAGATGTGGCTGTGAATGAGGGAGGTAGCGATTAACAAACAGGGAATAATTCATGAATGGCAAATCGTATAATAATAAATTATAGGTCAAAATCAGCCCTAATGGGCTGGTATCGGACGAAACCTCAGCACGGATTCGAAAAGCTCGTTTGGCTTTTGCCAACTTACGTCACCTATGGCGAAGGCGAGATATCCGTCTATCAATAAAAGGACGAGTATACTGCACGGCAGTCCGTTCTGTTTTACTTTACGGCAGCGAAACATGGACATTAAGAGTAGAAGACACCCGTAAGCTCCTAGTATTTGACCACAGATGCCTTAGAAATATTGCTGGCGTCTGTTGGGATCATCGGGTAAGTAACAGTGAGGTTAGACGCAGGGTATTAGGTAATGATGGTAAATCAGTTGATGAGGTTGTTAATCTTCATCGACTGAGATGGTTGGGCCACGTGTTACGTATGCCTGAACACCGATTATCACGTCGTGCAATGCTAACGGGTGTTAGAGATGGTTGGAAGAGAATAAGGGGCGGCCAAACCAAAACGTGGCATCAGTGCTTGAAGACACTAACCTCTAGTCTGAGCCATATTGGTAGATGCAGACTACTTGGTTGGGGTCCGCGTGACTTTTGTAACCAATGGTTAGAGACTCTTGGTGACATGGCTCAGAATCGATCACAATGGCGTCGGTGTATACACTTCCTGTCTTCCCTTAAACTAAGAGATTAAAATCACTTCATATCTTTCTTTCTACTAACTAATTCTTTCTTCCTGTACTGTATCCTTATATGCAATCTTTCTCCTATATATTACCACCTTTGACCTAACCACTCCTATGAATCCGGTGTTCATCTTGCTGTGCTAATGCTGTATGGCAACCTGGACCGATGCATATATGTGTCTGGTCCTACGTTGTAGTTGACTGACTGACTCACTGATAGGTCAAAATAAAACTCATAATAAGAGGGACATGAATAATGAACAGTTTAGTTACATAACAATTATACGATAAAAATATACTCATAATATTGGTCCATAAATGGATCTCAAAAATTACCATTCATTATTCTTATCTGGATATAACAAACATCATTTTAAAGTTGAACATTAGTTAACTTGATTTTAATGAATTGCTCAAAGTCAACAGTATAATATTAATCTTATCTGAATTCATAAACATGTAATATCTTTAATTATGTCCATACTTTATTTGTATTATTTTTAGGTACGAATAATGATTTGTATAAGTTGGATATTTCCAGCAACATTATTCACATTACTTATATTTGGTTGGTCATATATAACTGGTGAAACACAACGTGATATAACTAAATGTGATGTATCATTTACATATTATCCAATATTTAATACAACATTAACTATAGGCTATTTTTGGATTACATTAATTATTATGTGTAGTTTATATGTTGGTATTTATAAAGTAGCACGTAGATTACAAAAAAAATCATTAGAAAGTAATAAACGTTTAGTACAATTTTTAACAAAAGTTGATCAAGATTCAATACATTCACAAAGTAATCAAAATTCATTAGATGATAATAATAATAATAATAATGGCGGTAATAATGATCGGAAACATTCCAAATCAAAAGTTATTAAAGGAAATATGAAACGATATCGTGATCGAACAAATAAACATTTTTATTATGAACCTAAATCAAATTACAATCAATCATTTGATGATGTAATGGATTGTAATTTTACATTCAATAAAAAGTGTAAATATGATCCAATTCAACGGTAAGTAATATTGATCAATTAATTATAAAAAATTTAAAAAAAAACAAACTATTTTGTTATCAGAATGGGTTTTGTGGAGATTTTTTTTAGAAATTTCACTAGTTGAAATCATGAGTCAATTGAAGCTGGACCACCACTGAAAACCTAGAAGCACTGAACGGCTGTTTCGTCCTATTGTGGGACTCCTCAGCAGTGCGCATCCACTATTTTGTATTTATGTATAATTAGCTATTGTTACATTGAATGATAGAGAAATAAAATTTGTCATATTCTTTTTATCTATTAGCAGCTAGTGATGAATGTATAATGCTAGTATTTGAACGAAGAATATTCACTTCGCATTCATCCCTCTGTATTACGTCTTACTTATTTGATCGAATTGTAAATGCACTATTGTATCTCTCTCACCCTATTTGACCCATATTTATTTTGATCATGGATCTTAAAATTTCACTTAACACATATGCAGATTCAAGTTGACATTCTATATGAGTCATATTAACATTAACAATTTTGTTGTATTTTGTTTATCACAATCCTAAATTCACATGCTTTTAACGATGTACTTTGCCCTTCACCTGGCCATTTTTCGGATTAATAATTTGGATATATATGAATTGTAGAACCTGAAGAGAATTTACCGAAAAGAATATTCTTCGTTCAAATACTAGTCTTTTAATATGACGGGGATCTTTAAACGATTAGAATGTATAATGATAGAATTCAGACCAATACCTATGTGTTAAAATAAAATATAAAATAAATAAATAAATCAGTGGTCTAGAGGTTAAGCATTCGCGCGCAAGATTGATAGGTCCTCGCAAGGCTGGATCATGGATGCGCACTGCTGAGGAGTCCTATACTAGGACGAACCGGCCGTCCAGTGCTTCCAGGTTGTCAATGGTGGTTTAGCTTCAATTGAATCATGATTTTAACTATTGAAATAATTTATTAGCAGATTTCCATTACTTATCTTTTATATTTTGTGTGATTTTTCCAGTTCACAATCACATTCTATTTCTTTTTCTATTCACTTCAATTAGATCTTCTTGAACTTCTGTTGCCAAATTTTCCATATTCGATTAGTGTTATATACTACTTATGTCGATAGGCATTAGTAGCATACATAACAATATTACCATCGATTGTATGGGACTAATGTAGAATTCAGTATATATAGATGTTCATCACTAAAGTAAATATTTTTTGAGACATATTTTGATGAATATAGCTATGTGATCTAAACAATCTAATTGGATGACTTATCCTGCTACTGGATCAATCACAATTAATCATTCAGTCATTTTCTTGTTGTAATTAAAAACTTGTTATAAATATATACAGAGTTGCATTTTGGCCAGATTATACATTGTGGTCACAGATCATGTGTATCTTCTGATATTCTTGTTAATTCAATAAGAAATCCCATATTAGGAGAGAAATATTCAAGTATATGTACTGCCGATTAGTGTGTTATCAGTTCGAATCTACCCATCTTTTCATCACATTGACCCACTCAGTCACGTTAGTTATGACTTTCCTGAATTAAGTTTTATGTTTTATCAGAGATTATTCAGGGGTGATGGAGAATTCTTGACGCTCCGAATGAGAATCTTGAAGCTGATATGTCGTTTGAACAGAATGGTTGCAACCTAGAGTAAACAACACAAATTACTTAATTTTGTTTGTTTGGAACCTGTTCTTATCTATATCTTCCTATAAAAACGACAGATAGTCTTACTTACTTACACCTGTTACATCTTGTGGAGGAGCAAAGGCCGTCCACCAGCATTCTTTATTCAACTCTGTCCTGGGGAATACTTTCCAGTTGCTATTCATCCTTTTCATATCTGGTTACGATTCTCGACGCAGTGTGTTCTTTGGCCTCCTTCTATCCCGTTTCTCTTCAGGATTCCAAGTTAGCACTTGCTTCGTAATGCAGTTTTATGATTTCTGCAATGTGTGTTTTATCCACATCCAACGTCTCTTCCTAATTTCCTCTTCAACTAGAAGCTAGTTTGTCCTCTCCCACAGAAAACAATGACTAACGATCATTACAACCTAGCAAATCAGCATAACTTCTAAGTATGAAATTGTATGAATCGAAGAGCTTGCCAGATTTTTCCTAATAATAAACAAATTATAAATAATATCAGTTAAATATTTGTAACCAATATAGGATTCTCTTTAATATAAAGCTGAAAAGACAGTGACTAGACAGAAGTTTTTATTCTTAGACGTCAACCAAGGAAAGTGATATTCGAATTATTAAGAAACTAACTAACCATCTACTGCTTCTCTGACAGCATTACTATTAGTTCAGAATACATGTACTCTCTTATATAACTAAATAACTTCTCCAAAAATTAGGAACAAAGTTCACCAGTAATTACTAATCTATGTACAACAACAATTTTTGATAAGTTTTAATAAAAATAACTGAGATAGCCATTCAGTGAAATATTAATTCAAGACCTCCAGTAGAAAATCGATTTACAATAAGATCCACATATGTCTTAATACAAGATCTACACCGTTCGAAACGGCTACGAAATTTCATCCTTAAAATAAATCCTTTGATACCCAGTGATTAGAAGTAATCGATAAGATGTGAAATAATTCAGGTTATTTGCTCATCTATTTGAATAAGACAAAACTAGACAAATCATGTAACAAAGGAATCATTCTAATCTTTTTTTGGTTATTTTAGTAATCTTCATGTATTTATCCTTATTAATTCGTCTAAGCGTATTGTGCTCATTCTCATACAGCTATTTAGTATCCGGAACATTGTATACCAAATTAAAGTTAAAAATTATATTCAACTAGAATCAATCAAAAGCTAAACATATGCCTTGAGCTTTAATTTAGTGATTATGAAGTTCAAAAAGTACGAAATATAAATTACTAAACATCGAAACAAGTAATCAAGTAACCCCAATACAAACTCAATAGAATTTCATTAACTATAAGAATTAAATAAAAATAACATAAATAAGCAAGCATGGATAGTAGTTGGCAGTGGAATCCAGGACGTGCGTTTCGTCAGCTGGATGTACCAGTATCGCAGAGTTAATGTCCATTCTGGGACTCGAACCCAGTACCGTTCGCTTCAAACTCCATTGTGTTATCCACTTAGCTATTGAGTCCATCTTTTCTTAAAAAAGCTTTTGAATTAAGGCAATATCGAGGTAATACACACAGTATGCACATACCAATAAGAGACTGATCAATTGCAATCCTAAACATCAATGAGAAGATTCAAGTGAATTTAACATTGATAACTAATAAATGATCAATCAGTATAAAAATTAACATTATTTTATGATCTATTTCTTTCAGAAATTTATTGACAGCGGTTGATGATCATCCACATAACTCATTAAAAGAATCACATTTCATCGAAATTAATTCAAAAAGTAATTATCCTATAAAAAACAATACAAATAAATGTCATTTTGAATATGGAAGTGAAACTAGTGGTTGTTCAACATTTCATCCAACAAATAATAATAGTACTGAAAGTAAAACTCAATTATCATCAATCATTGAAAGATCTCAGTTACTTTCAACTATAGATGTATCAAAAAAATATGAAGATATAACATTTAAAATTTCTAAAAATGAATCTTTATCTTCTATATCTGATGAATATTTCTCATTACCATCTGTAAATTTTTATATACCATCACCAAAAGTTCCTATATCATCACCAATTCAAAGTAATCAATCAATATCTTCAAAATATATAGAATCAGATAATAGTTCCCCGGTATGGATTAAAAAGGATGCTTGTTATGATTCTGGTTTAAATTTATATGTATATGATATATGTCCACAATTAATGAAATGTCAAACATTTATTCATGAAGGAAATATTTGTCAAAATAGTATCTATTTATCGGATTCAACCTCTTGGAATCAATGTATTCAATCATGTTGTCTGTTAGAAAAAGTAAGTTACCGTTAAAAATAAGATGAATGCTATTAGATATTATTTTATGTATCAAATATTTAATTGATGTTTAGTTCAGAAAAATTGATAGATTGTAGTGGCTGTGCTTCTTTGACCAATCAACCTCGTGACCGTTATCATATAATCCTCAACGGTGTTTGAAATCAGAAGGTAAAGAAAAGCAATGATTACAGTTTTATTAGCAGGTAACTCAGACCACAAAGCAGTGATGCGAATGAGTGAGTCAGTGAACCGAGTGTAGAGTGTTGAATGTACATGTATATTATATAGGGAAATGAATGGATCATCGAATCAATCAAGCAGCTAATAATAAAGCTAGCAGAATGAATATGTACGTAGGCGGTAAGCAACGTTCAAGCATACATATTTCATACAAGCACAACAATGATAAGGGTACAAAAAGTTATTATAGTATGGATGACTTTGTCCGCCAAACAAGTTAGCAAAAGAGCTTAACTGAGTTAAATGAGAACAAACTCAGTTGCACGTGAGTTGCTATAAGATCTATCTAAATATTCAATCGTTTTTATATTCAATGTCACTGACCAAATTATTACTTATTATTGTAAGCTTTCTACTTTTAAACAATGAATTAGGATTGTTTTACTTAACTATCCATGATCTATACTTTATAGAATCGAAGCCATATCATCACAAACAAAAATTTAAATTTAGTAACATCCTCTAGGATTAACCTCATTTTATCCAAGTATTCTTGGTGGTCGTGTAGTACTACACCAGCTCCTTTGTCATAGCTAATGCTCCTGAAAATGAAAAACTTAAATGTCTTGCATTCTATGTCGTATGATATTGTGAATGCAGACTGCTAAGTCATAAATTGGGACAAAATAGCTATCCAACCTAGTCAATAAACTAAGAATATTATTATAAATAAATAATATATTTGTAATATCTCAATGAGTAGAAAAATTCGATTTTCTGACGTAATATTCTTGTTGTTCCGTTGTACTATTTAAACTTGGATTAATTTTTGTTTGACTATTTATTTATTCTCTGAAAAAGTAGCTTACACTAAGTCACGAAACGTCAGAAAATCGAATTGTTCTACTCATTGGGATGTTACAAATATATTAATTAATTCATACCAATCTACCCAATGCTCAGTTTATTCGACATTATCAAGTCAAACCTTGATAATGAAACCTAAGAATATTATTATACCAACCTGGTACTAGGCTAATTTCTGTCTAGTACTCTAAAATTAATCCATTTCACTCAACTTGATGTAAATAAGAACGAAATTCTAATCAAAGACGGAATAAAATGTGTAAAAACAAAAACAGAAGCTATTTTTTATCATTTCACATTCATTATTAAGCTTCAATTAATGGAACGTAAACAAATAGATATATTCATATTTGTTGTCACATTAGCCATATGAAAATTCAAACCCCCTTTGTGTATTCAAAAACAGTTTGTTCTCATCTTAAACCTACCCCGATAATATTGACTTATTAACCAGAGTGATTAGGTTTCAAATTGTGTTCACATTATTATAGATAATCTTATTATTATTATCCTTGACTCCTCTTGCCCCATTTCCAGTCTAGTTGACCTTTTACTTTTATATATAAATGTTCTTAACAAGTATATGTGTGATCAGATTGTTCGAAATGTATTGCGCTAATATATCACATAGTCCTAATAATCTTCGTCTTCTTATTACATTATCGAAATTTATCAAAGGGATTAATTGCTTTAAACACATAATCATTTAAAAATCTATCCTTTTAGTATATAAATATGAAAACATTCAATAGGTTTTGTTTTTTACTCTGGAAAAAAAAGATGATCTCATTTCTATAAAACGAGTTGTATTGTGGTGAGCTACTTATATTCATATAAGTAGTATATAATAATGGTGAGGCATAGAATGTATTTCAGTAGAAAATCGAAAAGGAAAGAACGGGAAGCGAAAGCAGTTAATAATGAAAATGCATAAACAATAAAATCTGAGACAATGGACTAATATTTACAAAAGTAACAATCAAGTTTGACACAATCGATTGATATTTTGCAAATTAACTATTTACTATATGGCTCCCAGATTTTATTGAGATGTTCTGTCATTTTGTATTCAAACACGTTTAATTGTTACCACTCGTATTCTTGTTCACTACAGTATTAAGTTCATTTCCAGTTCTTTTTTTTAATTTTATTTTAATTTTTAAACAATAATAGTGTGAATATTCAGATTATACAACATCAAGTGATGATCCCAGTTCAACATTATATAATCAATCAATAATTAATGACCATTGGTGTCTACGTTTTATGAATAAATGGAATAAATCTAAACGTGATCGAACTATTAAATCACCTTATGTATTCAATCAAATAAAACATAATTCATTATTATGGTATAAATCTAATGATAAATCATATTTAACTGAATATCAACCTAATTCTAATGTTAATACTGATCAAGAAATATGTCCATTTTGTCAAATAAATAAAGATAATAATAAGTTTATTCAGCAAGATAAATCAAAACAAAAATCTGGATTGCAACTAATAGTAGAACAGATCAAATTCAAAGTTCAATATTGTTGTTGTTGTTGTTGTATTCTATCATCAAAACATATAAATATTCCTTTAAATAATAATCCAATACAAATTCAATCAAATAGTACAACCAATAATAGTAAAACTATACATAGTAATGATAATAGTGATAATGATTGTGTAACACAATATAATCAATTAAAAATTAAACATAATAAATTATCAATTAAAGATAAATATAAACAACAAATTAATTCACAAATACAACAACAACAACAACAACAACAACAACAACAATTACAACATAGAAAATCATCAATAACAACGAATAAACGACAAACAACCTTTTCAATATTTCAATCATTATCTAATATTGATATGCAAAATCGTAAACATGCATGTAAAGCATTAAAAACAATTAGTCTTATATTGGGCGCATTTATGATATGTTGGACACCATATCATATAATTGTATTAATTAAAGGATTTTGTGATGATATTAATACGCATAATAGTTGTGTAAATATTCATTTATATAATCTTTCTTATTGGTTATGTTATATGAATTCACCAATTAATCCATTTTGTTATGCATTATCCAATATTTCATTTAGGCGAACATTTTTTCGAATATTACGATGTGATTTCCAAAAAAGATAAAAAAATTTATTGAATGTTTCTTTTTTTGTTTTGTTTTAAACAATCATTGTTTATGTATTGTGTACACTTTTTTTAAAAAAAGAATGTAATCATAAACCAGCTATCGATATTTGTCATTCTCTTATAGATCAATTACGTTGAAATCATGAGTTAATTGAAGTTAGACTATCATGGAAAACCTGGAAGTATACTAGACGGCTGTTTCATCCTATTATGGGACTTCTTAATAGTGCGTTTCCATGATCCAGCCTTGCGAGGTTCGAACACAGGACCTATCAGTCTTGCACGCGAACGCTTAACCTCTAGACCACTGAGCCGGCTGGCATCTAACGGTGTTAATGTCTAACTTCAAACTAATCCACAAATTGATCGACACATCTACCATTGTCTTCACTGAGTTACTATTTCATAACAGACCTGGTTGGACTCCACTGGTCACTGCTTCTAACTAGAACTCTAGGAAATACTTCTTGAAACCAGTCACTGGTGAGCATATTCAATATCAATATATTAAAAAAACATCTAGAAAAATAGAATCTTCTATGCATCTTGGTGTAGACAATCTTTCTGTTGTCCATTACAATATAGTACGTTAATACAACAACACAACATGGGTACTACATCAATACAGTAAATACGAAATCATTAGATCATTATACTAAGACATTTCAAACACAGATACACTACTTACGATCGAAAATTGAGAACGAGGTTATAGAGACAGAATATTTTATTCATATAAAGTATAGGCAATTTAAACACAATGAAATCCATAATAGTCGATAATAGGAAGGAATATACAGTATTGAATAGCATCCCAATATTTACCAAAGCTGTGTCTGCTACTCTTTGCTCAATGGCCGTACATCACTTTCCTTGGTATATATTCAATTATCAAGTAAATTAATGAAACCAATGAATGGTAGTGTCAGTCGAACTCAATAAATGTAGTCTGTCTCATAAGTGGGCAAACTCGAAAAAAATTTTCTATAGTAGTTGAGCCACACTAATTCAAACCCCTTTCAAAATACTGTTTATTTATTAAAACGTAGTTTTATTTACAATTTTATTATTCAAAATGTCCTACGCAAATCAGTCACCTTAGGAGTCCCTCCCACTTTGCTAGTCATATACAGAAAGTACTTTCACCAATTCAATTCGTTAGCAAACATCCAGACAGTATATCAGAGACCAAAATGCACTAGAAAATGTATTAACCCTATCCAGTAGAATGAACAACAACGTATTTCATGAATAAAACATGAAATGTAGAAGCCGAACAAAATAAAATTTGAAGATTGTAACCTTTTAGCATTATTTAATAATTAAGTGTAGTGGGAGGTTCAGTGGTCAGTAATTATGCTCATTGATGCAAGACCTAAAAGAAACTTACGTCGTCACGAGATGTAACCAAACTCATTGCTATTGAGTCCTCAAATAGTAACTAAGGCCTCTGTACGACTGGATTATAATCAATTATTGGCCAAGAGAATATAAAATGCGCGAATTCGGTAATAAATTGACGTATATTATAAATCATCATAAGATAATATTATATATATGTGCAATAATCAGACAAGGCAAACGTTCAAACCCTACCTATACTGTTTTAACAGACCGATTAAGATATCGCGTGGTTGCTTAGCTTATTTGGCACCGATTTTGAGAATCGGGTCTAGTTCTTTATTAGCCGTTAGATGGAAAAAAACCAAGGGTTGCCGGTTCATCATATAACGCCATGGAACGAAAGATAATTATAGACAACTAGCATTAGTTCGTCAATCAACCCTAAAGAACATACAGCTAAAACGATCCTATTGTAATTTCCCATTATATTCTTCATTACGAAAGATGAAACTTCATAACTGAACGAAATATATTTTGTTTTCTAAAACCGAAGGGTATCCTTTACTCAATAATGACCTCGTTTAGATATTTATCTTATGGTCTTTTGCTTTTCCGTTTGTACACATCACTCCACTTTGTATGGGACAGTTTTTGTCCCCCATGTAGAAAACTGTTACAAATAAGATGAAGGCTAACAGTAAGCGACAAAGCTCTCCAACATCTCACACAACACAGCTAAAAAATATTGTTAATACTATGTTGGTGTTAATTTAGATTTATAAGCGTTATGGAGAGAAATATTAATTTTTGATATGTTCTTCAAGCACCAAAAACTCATCCGACATCTTTTATATTGTTGAATGGTTCAAAAACACCACCCAAATCCCAATACTGAAAGAGATCATCAAGTAACTGGCGCCAAATGAAACTAGCTCGGTTCAACATTAATCACTATATATTCCCATTAAACTCCATTGATGTTCTAAAAAATAGATTAAGAATAGTAGTCTGGGGGACTTTCCTGTACTCAAACAATCTTTAACAATACAAATAGCAATTAGGAAGTTGAGTACTTAAGCAATCGAAGAATGTACATCACAAGCACCTCTGACTGGATTTTACTCCTTATATTGTAACTGTAATACGGAGGAAATTAATAAGACATTCACCAACAGTATGCACCAAACTCGTTAGTAAATTTGGTGAACAATAACGTCTTACAGGTTACATAATAACATGATTTAATATGACGATAAAAGATTACTACTCAGAGAAGTTCAAATAACCTGTAAAATCTTCCCAAAACCTACCTTCACAACTCCATCAGAAGATAAACAATGAACAACAAGCGAAGTTCAGTAGTAATATATCTGTCATTACAGTTAACTTAAGATTCTAAAGGAACCTAACTGATTGCAACTAAAACGAATTTCACACTAGAGATGTTGGGTGCTACGTTAAAAAGTGATCGTAATCGAGATTTATTAATTCTTTAACTTACAAATATTAAGACATATTACTTAGTACTTTTTATTCCTCCACTTCACATACTCTTCGATTGTTTTCTCTATGTATGATTTCTGTTATCATTTATACTGGTATTATTTTGAATCCTTTACTTTCCTCTCGAGTTAATACACAGAGTAATTTGAATAGATACATATTCATGCTGATTTGCATGCTTTTATGTTCAAATAATTGACTAGAGTGGTCCTAATGTGCATTTTAGGTACACCTTCAATCATATCTAACCAAACATAAAAATAATCTGAAAGCTTATGAAAGTTGACATAACTTAAGACAATTTAATGGGTATAAATCCAATTCTAATAAATACAATACTACATTAAAAAGAGCAAGTAAATATTTTGATGATCAAACGTCACAAGCCTATTTATCGTAAACAATCAAAATCCCCTTCAAAAATAATTATTTTAATGCATCCTATTCTTACTAGTTTAATTCCGAATATAAAATTTAAAAGAAATAAAACTACCAGTTCAGTAAACAAAACTGTATTGTATTAACAAAATCTAACAATTATAAGTCTGTACAACATAGAACAACTAAGCATATGAATGGTTTCTAACGATGCCATGGATCAACCCTATGTGTGCGTATAACAAGTGAGATTTTTCTTGACATCTCAGAGTCATACACACGTTTACACCGTTCATACATGTATCTTCGTCTCCAATCAGTTGGTTTTTCATAACGTTGTTGGAAATTGACCGTACTTCTTACCTTATCAAAATTTATTATCCTGAAAATAGATGAAGAAAGAATGAAGTAAATATAAAGATAAATTTGTTTTTTGTTATATTTTTTAATTTTATTTTGATGGCCGGTGACGAATGGATTGAAGAACTGGGACAGCAACGTTCCTGAATGCATATTTAAGTAAATGAATTAACTGACATGCACATTAGTAATAAATAGAAACAAAGTGTCGGATTTATAATGACACTGGGACAAGAATCACCAACAATTATAATGGAAATAAATTAAGGATTATACTAGACGGGTTTAATCTTTATTGTATTTGAAATGAGTCAAAACTGTTCAGTGTCATTTAATCAATATATCTCAAATATTTGTAGATCAACAGATCAATGGAATATGATAAACAGATAGGTAAACAAAGTATCCTTATAACTCAGATTACAAGAATACGAATATAAGGTATTTGAATTAATTACACTATCGAGTCCAAGTTAAATAATAAAACTGAATGCACTTGACAGACGTATGCTCATTCAGATCTTACATTCCAAAATGAGTATACAAATACATAAATCTATCAAGACAACATAAACGATCACACTGTTATTATCTCTTAAATTTCCCCTCTACAGTACATGTACAAAAAATGGTACTTCATATGTCTAAAGAAAATGATTCCAGTCACCTTGAGGGCCGAATTTAACAATACATCAGAAGAATCCGTACACGAGTGTACAACACATGGCTTGGTTATTTGGACTGATGTAAGTTCATAGCCATAACGACGGATTTGCTTTCTGTACCTAGACCACTAACCACAAAATAAATATTGTTCACCTAAATTTCTGAATTATGCATTCACAGATAATAGGTTCTTACATCAGCATATTTCTTGCGTTAATAGTTGTTTAACAAGCTTAATTCCTGTGGTGTTTCTGAGTACCAACTGTTGGTCATTTATGGTAAATACTTAGCCACGCGCTTATTTCACAAGGAAGTATAAGGAGATCGAGCTGTTTCAGGTACTGGCTTGTTGATAATAATGTTTCTTCTCATAAGTCAGGGGTTCGTGCAGTATCAGCTTTGTGTTAAACATTTTGCAGATCCACTCAAGCGAATGTTCCCAGGCAGTAAGATATATTTTGTCTCACTTTTTTCTAGTAAGTACTGACATAATGCATAAGAGGGGTATCTTCTGAACTGATCACAATGATTTCAGTCACAGTTTGGAAGGACTGAAACATATTAACAACTTCTAGAGAGTTTAGACCTTGCACAATTGAATCGCCAACTACAGCAAGCTCAAAAATAAGATTATTCATGAAAGAACTAGTTAAGCACCCGTAATTTGAAATGTCCTTAACATGTACAGGTTTCTTTCATATTACGAAATAGTGATCTATAACTCCGAAATAAGAATAT